TTTCCCTATCAATAGCTTAATTGAAAATAAGGAATTAATAATTTCAGGAGAATCTTTAAAGCAAATGAGTAGTTATCTATTAGTACAAGGGGGTCTTGAACCTTTTCAGAACAAAGTTATTTTTTAAGGTTCGCCTAACTCCTTTGGGTTCCTCGCTCAGGGCCTCCTGAATTCCTGCCCGACACTCTATCCACTACGACACCATAGCTGTAAACAGGTCATAAAGCCCACCTTCAACCCTCAACTTGACATAACAGGAAGATCCATCCTGACCAGATGAAGGCTCAGTTTGACTTTAACTGCCTCTCAGTTTGACTTTAACTGCCTCTCAGTTTGCAGAGATACAGACCAGATTGTGACCTCATTCTGACATCGGAGGATTCTGACCTATCGCTAGGCTGGTTAGGAAAATTGTGGGATCTACAGTCAAAGAAAGCAACTTTATCAAGCCCTGCTTGGCATGTGATGAGCTTGCCCAAAGGGACACAGGCCAGCTCTTCCTCCCTAAAGGCATAGTGGGAAATACATCTCGCTAGGCTGGTTAGGAAAATTGTGGGATCTACAGTCAAAGAAAGCAACTTTATCAAGCCCTGCTTGGCATGTGATGAGCTTGCCCAAAGGGACACAGGCCAGCTCTTCCTCCCTAAAGGCACAGTGGGAAATACATCTCCCAACCTCTGGCATCACCACCACTCTTTGCAACAATACCCGAAGAAAGCTATAAGTAAAGGTAACGGTTCCCCTTGACATTTTAGTCAGTCATGTTAGACTCTAGGGGGCGGTGCTCATCCCCGTTTCCAAGCCGTAGAGCCAGCGTTTGTCTGAAGACAGTTTCCGTTGTCATGTGGCCAGCGCGGCTATACACGGAACACTGTTTTTAAGCAGCTCACCTACAATCAATAAGGAGGGCAGTTTAGAGATTAGGGATAGACTGGAAAGTAAGAGTCCTGGTTCTCAAACCCACTGAGTCATGAGATGCGAGCCAGAAACAGGTTCTAGAGCATGCCTTTAATTAGAGCTGAAAACTTCAGTGTTATAGAGAGAATAGATGCTGCCTTTCCCTGTTTGGGAAACCAGGCATCAACGGAACCCAATGTTTAACTCATGGAAACTACTTGCCAAATCAAGCAAGCTGATCTGCATAGCCGTGGAGGTGAGAAGTCCAGGTTGGGATGCTCAGATGCTCATAGTAACCCCCCCTCCAGTCATAGGCTACCTCTAATATCTGGTTGTGGCCCCTCTGAGTGACCTTCAGCTGGTCACTCTCTCTGAGCATGACCTGTTTTACAGGATTATTGTGAAGCTAACATGATGGCGGGGCGGGGCGGGGCGGGGTGGGGGAGAAGAGCTGTGTGAACTACTTAGAGCAAATAACTGAAGAAAAGGTGATAGATAAGTATAACCAATATCATTTTCATTCTCTTAGAACTGCAGCCAGAGACCTAAGCCACTGAGTTATATCTTAATAGTCTCTATTTCACTTGTGATTTTTATTTGAGCTTAATTAAGCAATTTCCATTATATAGTTGGAAACCAATGGGGAGAGTGATTTATGGTTATCTATATTTATGCACAGTGGAGATTTTCACACTGTTGCAGGAAAGTCTGCTAGGTGACCCGGTGTAGATCTCGAGGAGTTACTCTTAAGAAGCATGACTGTAACAACATGTTGAAAGCCACCCATAACTGAGCAGTGGAGAGTGATGCTCTAAAATCCATCAGATCATCCTATCATCATTCATTTATGGATGGCTTCAGCATCTCACTATAGTCTTTCTTCTTAAAAGTAAGTTCCCACATTCTAAAACAATCACATCCAGAAGCAGTAGAATCCAAGATTTAATTCCCACTTTATTTGAAAGTATCACTCTCAGGAAAGTAACCCATATCACTGCTCTGTAACTGTCCCAGATTAAGTACCACTTCATAAGATATGGAGGGTGATAAAACCCTAAAACTGAAACCGCTGAGTTCTATTTTAAAATCAGAAATCTCTTCGCAGTTCATGTAAGAGTTTTCCCAGGTGTAAACGGGGAACAGAATGGGGGAAGCCTGATGTTCTTAATGTACAAACTTCCTGCTGCAGTTCATGAACTCAGCAGCAGAAACAGCAGTAGCACTTCTGACCGAAATGGATGCAATCCAAGAGAAAGTGAGTGCAGCCCTTTGAGCAACGCCTTTGGCCCGTTGCCACCTTTGCAGCTCTTCACATATATCATGAACCCACAGAAATACATTTATTCCAATTTAATGGGCATCAACAGCCAAGCTGTTTCAGATATGCTTGGATACAAATTTCTCCCTTCTTTGCCCAGACTTGGATTCAGCTGGATCATCATCATCAAATCATGACTAGAATACGACAAAGGTTTTTTATCACAGTACATGGATTGATCAGCTCATCTGTGCCAAGACGTCTATACAGTATTAGGTAAAAGTAAAGGTTCCCCTTGACAATTTTTGTCCAGTCATGTTCGACTCTAGGGGGCGGTGCTCATCCCCGTTTCCAAGCCATAGAGCCAGCATTTTGTCCAAAGACAATCTTCCATGGTCACATGGCCAGTGCGACTTAGACACGGAACGCTGTTTACCTTCCCACCGAGGTGGTCCCTATTGATCTACTTGCATTTGCATGCTTTCGAACCGCTAGGTTGGCGGGAGCTGGGACAAGCGACGGGCGCTCACTCCGTCGCGTGGATTCGATCTTACGACTACTGGTCTTCTGACCCTGCAGCACAGGCTTCTGCGGTTTAGCCCACAGCGCCACCACGTCCCTTCTATACAGTATTACCACTTGTCAATGATAGCATTCAATGTTCATCCTTCTTCGCATTTCAGTTCCCTGATTAAGCCCATCTCTGACGAAGCAGTCTGCCAACTGAGGCAAAACCTCATCCATCTCATGAAGAGAGTTACACCAGTTAAAACTTGCTAGTTTTATTTAAGATGCCAGAAGACTATTTGTTAAATTAATGAAGAAATTGTATAAGCTTGTTTTGCTTTTAATATGTTATTTGTTTAATTTCTTTAAAAAAATTTATATACCGATTGTTTTTAGCTTTTAAATATTGTCTCTTTTGAATTGTATAAGCTTGTTTTGCTTTTAGTATGTTATTTAATTTCTTTTAAAAATTTTATATACCGATTTTTTTTAGCTTTTAAATATTGTCTCTTTTAATGATGGAAGGCACATTGTCTCCTCTTTAAGGAGAAAGTTGGGGTATACATATTTTAAATAAATAAAATAAAAAATGTTATGACCTTCTATTAGCACAACTCTAGGGAAATTAACTAAGAAGTAAGAACAGGCCCCACCTCACCATCAGGCAGAGTGAAAAAGCAGCAGATCCCGGATGTTATGAAAGGCCAACAACATTGTTCTATGAAATTAATCATCACTACTTATCCCATGGAGGTTGGCAGAGACTGTAACATTGCTAACATGTTTGGGACACAACCCTAACCTATGCACAGGCTTTATTGTGTAAATTACAAACAAACAAGCATCTTCTGACAGCTGAAAGACCCAAATGTTCCCTGGTGTGATTTCTGTGGGCTGTAGCTCACCTGAGGTCGGCTACAGCCTGTGCAAACCAAGGCCAAAGACCACTTGTTATTCTTTAAGCTGCCAGCAGATGTTGGTTGTTTTTGCTGTGATGGACTCACCTGGCTATCACGTGGGAAATTTATGTAGCTCAGTCGCAGGAAAAAACTGTGTTGGACTGGAATGTCCTCAGAAGCATGAGAGGCCTCCCAGTGAAACCACAGTGTTATAATATATATATTTTTCTACATTGAAATGCCTTGTTTGCTCTACTTGATGAGTAAGATTATGTTCTGCTTCCCAGAATGAATGCTGGTTTTGTTTAGTTGTACTTTTATTTCCCTGTGAGCGTCATCTTCTCTGTGACCCCAAGCACACTGTGTCAAGTACTATGATGGTTGTGTGGAAGAATTTGCTCATTTCAAAGCAGCACACCACGGAGTAGGCAACATCTGGTGAGGGAGGGGGGACACTACCCCCCCCCACTTGAACCAACCAGGGCTGCACCCAATTCTTGCAAGTGGCGGCAAATGTCACACAGGGAGGAATCCGATGCCCAGTTTGTATAGTGCAAACTAGACATCACGTTACCGGTGTGTGTGATTGTTCCTGTTCTTGTTGTATGGCCATGTTAATTTGCACTCTCAATTGTGTGCCTGGGTGCAGAACACTGTTGAGAAAATGGACAAAACCGCTTCCACGGTCTCCGTGAGGCATGCGGTGTCTCACAAAAGGATGTTGGCCATTGGATTGCTTTAAAGCAAGGTGCATGCTCCTAATGTACCTTGTTTCACAGTGAAAATACTCACTGCTATTCTGCCAATTTTCAGTGGTAGAAGGGAGCCTCTGCAGCTGTGGGGGGGGGAGGAAGAGGCAATGGACAACCCGCAGGCTCTGTGTTATCCACTCTCACACGTTACAGGGTAACATCAGTGGACACGGAGCCCCACAGACTACTACAAACGCAGAAAACAAAACAAAACAAACAAAAAACCATCCAACACTATTTATTTATTTATTTATTTGTTCATTCATTCATTCATTCATTCATTTGATTTGATTTGATTTGATTTGTACCCCGCCCATCTGGTCTATAAGACCACTCTAGGCGGCTATTCTTAGATACATAAAAATAATAAATTAATCAGAAAACCAAACAAACAAAACCCCTTCCAACACTATACTTAGATACATAAAAATAATAAATTAATCAATTAAAAATGAACCCAAAGGGGCATGAAGTCCACTTCTAGTTTTGAACAATGGCTGTCTTCAGGTGTTAAACCATGCTGGGGACTTCACGGCCTATTAAAGAAGGTGTGGCCATTCCATTCTCTCTCTTTTTGGGTTGGGAACAGTTGTTTTTTGGATGGCTCTCCCCACCCTCATCAGAACCTGATGCAGAAATAGATTTGGGACCCACATGCCCTTTTGTGTATTCTGAAGCAGAATCCTTTGACTAGAGTTCATTTCCACCTCTGTGCTCAGTGCCAGATGACTTCAGGGTCCATACTGCCTGGGAGGCATGGATCATCTTGACAGCTTTTGCCTGCCTTGGTATTTCCCAGCAAAGGAGTCGCAGGCCAGTTTCCCCATCAAATTAGGTAATTGTGTCCTCCATCCTAGCTGCAACAGAACTTGGCAGAAAATCAGTCATTTGATGACGGCAACTACCTGCCGTCTCCGTAGCAAATGAAGACGAGATAACATTACTGTCAGAGGGAAGGTGCTGTCTTTTAAGAATAAAGGAAGGCAATTCTTTCCCGCGTTAAGAGAGAATCACGGTGTTCATATGTTATTTAATTACACTGGGCTCATGGAAAACATGTTATTTTTAGATTGATGTTTAATTATGTAGGGAGTTTATCTTAACAACATAATTACAAGACGGGCTAAAGCTGGTGCTTGATTGTGTAGTTAATATGGCTTTCCAAGAACTGCCTAATCATAAAATTGCTAGTTAAACATGGAGCTTAAAAGACTGTAATTACGCCACTGTCCACATTATCTCTGAGGGGTTATGAAAGCACTGCTGTGGCCTAAGTAATCATTGTTTTCCCAAGTCTTTTATTATGGAGAGTTAAGAGATTTGGCATAAGGAGGGGGTGGGGAGCATAATATTAATACTAACACCGAGCTTAATGTAAACCAGAGGATTTTAGGAACTGATGATTTAAGACTGTATTATTGATATTAATATTAAAATGATAGCTTTTTCATTTTCTCTCAAACCATCCAAATGTAGGTAGATTAAAACTGTTATTGCAAGCCTGATGGGCACTTCTTACTTGAAGTATCTGGCCTATTTCTTGCAAAAAAGAGGAGATGGTACAGACCGGCTGTATCGCCTCTGTAGCACTCCAGGGGCCAGGGGTGAGGCCAGGGGAGAGCATTTGATTGGTACCCAGACTTTTTGATTAGGAGGGATGATCTACCACTTTCTTAAGCCTGCCCCATTCCACTGATCTTCCGTGTTCTTGACACCAGATTGGTGCATATTATGATAGAAACCAACTTAAACTTAACCCTACTAAGACTCAAATATGCTGAATGCCTTTCACCGGAAAAGCAAGCAGGCAACTCAGAAACTTCAGGTTACCTGGAAGGACACTGAATCAAATCTTATAAATATATATACACCTGCACTGAGAACAGACCAACCTGGAGTGTGGCGACCCATGCCGAGAAAAGTAGAAGCCGCCTACTTTTGAGCAGAGGCTCAAAAAAGGTGCAGGCTCTGCAGCCTGAGGTCAGCCATTATGTCGTGGGCTTGCTGGGGAAAAGAGCGAACCAATCCGCGACCCATGCCGAGAAAAGTAGAAGCCGCCTACTTTTGAGCAGAGGCTCAAAAAAGGTGCAGGACAAATTGGTCTGCGTCAGCCATTATGTCGTGGGCTTGCTGGGGAAAAGAGCGAACCAATCCGCCCCCAGCAGCGCGCCAAACAGTGGGGAGAAATGCCCATCTGAGCCAGCCCTTCGTCTGTTTCAGCAGCGGCGAGAGAAACAACCAGAACAGAACCAAACTAAACAAAAGTATTCTGGCACTGAACAAATGTCACATAGCCAGTCACACTTTCTCACAGCATGAGAATGCTCACACTGGAATGAATGAATGAATGAATGAATGAATGAATGAATGAATGAATGAATGAATGATCCTAGAACTGCAGAGCTGGAAAGGGACCCTGTGGCCCATGGAGTCCAGCCTCCTGTCAAGGAGGCAGAGAGGGGGAATCGAACTCCCAGCCTCTGGCTCTGCAGCCTGAGACCTCAATCCTCGAGCTCTCCAGCAGTTCAGACAAAGTTTAAAAAAATACATGAAACCAAAAACAAAAATATTGTGGTGCCTTAAAGACTAACTGTTACATTGGCATAAGAGCTTTTGTGGATCCATCACTTCGGAAGAGACATCCACTTCTGATAGTGCTGTATCCACAAAAGCTCAAATGGAAATGTAAGGTTTTTAAAGTACCATAGTGTGTTTTTGGTTTGTTTAATTTTTGTGTGTGTGCCCAGATATCCTTGTGTAGACTAACACGGTTGCTTTTTTTGAAAAATGAAATTAATGTATTTGTTTTAAAGGTGGCCCAATTCATAGAATGGAGGTCTCTCTCTCTCTCTCTCTCTCTCTCTCTGTGTGTGTGTGTGTGTAGGAAAGGTCTTCAAGATGGCTGACTAATGAGAGGGACAGGACACCCAAGCAGCAACCGAATGGCCTCCTCAAAGGGAGCAGCAGTTGCAAAATTCCAGGTGAAGGAGAAGAGAAACAGAAGATCTCTTTATGCTGTATATTTCCATAAATACCTCAGGGTCTTAACATTTCATTCTGGGAAGTAAATTTTTATGGACTGGTAATGAAGTTTTATCTGGCAGTGCCTATGAGTCATTCTTTGGTATTCTTCTGCCAAATGTTACTGTTAAAGCTCTAAAAGATGGGATGGCGTTTTTCCCTTCACAATCTTGCTTGCTCCAAGGATTCCTCTCAACCATGAAAAAGACCAAAAGAACCTATTATATCCTCCTGAAAGCCACCATAATTCCTCTATTTCTTTTTTTTTTTTTACTCTAATCCACTCATTTTATGTAAGATTCAAAAGTGAGAGCTATCTTTCCCCCAGACGAGAACCATCTTCATTATGCGCTTGCAGGGGAAACAGAGATGACTGAGTAATAACAGCAGTTCATCCTTCACTGTTAAATGAATTGCTATGATCAGCCACGACTGTTTCAGTCTTAGGAAATCAGGCAGAGAGAAAATGAGCAAAATGAATCATAAACCAAACCTCAAACTGACCCCAGATCTCTGAAGTTACTGGAACATTAAAATATTTATCAGGTGTCAGATTCAACATAGGCATGCTTACATATAATATTAAGTGTTATTGGGCTGACAGTCCTATGGATATCTTTAGATTGGTTATATAAGAAGCTCCTTTTGAAGACTCAGAATGGAAGTGTGGACTAAGTTGGCAAAATAAAGACGAAAGGGAAAAGAGGTACAGTCAAAAGAACTTTGTTGGCAAAACCTTGGTGAGTGGTTTGGATGCAACACAAGATCATGGTTTAGTGTTGTCCTAGTCAAAGTCAAAGCAGCCAAGTAGTCAAAAATAAAACTGAGTTAATGCGTGAGCTCAGTGGCTCCCAGGTTGTCCTAGCCAAAGTCAAAGCAGCCAAGTAAGATTGAGTTAATGCGTGAGCTCAGTGGCTCCCAAACTCGGGTCTCCAGATACTGTCAGACTACAACTCCCAGGAATGCCGGCTGGCACAGCTAGTGGCTAAGGCTTCTGAGAATTTTAGTCTAAGAACATTTGGGGATCCACAATTGTGGGTCACTGAGTTAGATAATCCCCGTCAGTTGTGTTATTTAATCTTAGAACTGCAGGGTTGGAAGGCACCCTACAGATCATCAAGTCTGGCCCCTCTTAAGGAGGCATAGTGAGGAATCGAACTCCCAGCTGAATGCCTAAACCACTGAGTTATCTAGCAGTTCTTATTGTGGAATGCATTTTTGGGCACCGTAGGAAAGGCTACTTATTGAGGGGCTTCCTGCCCACAGATAAGAGTGCCAGAACACATAGAACGCATCAATGACGAGGCAGCCCTCCACAGACTGCTATGCTAAACTCCTTCCCACCCTCTAATCTGGAATTGGGTCTAGGATGCCTAAACCACTGAGTTATGTAGCAGTTCTTATTGTGGAATGCATTTTTGGGCACCGTAGGAAAGGCTACTTATTGAGGGGCTTCCTGCCCACAGATAAGAGTGCCAGAACACATAGAACGCATCAATGACGAGGCAGCCCTCCACAGACTGCTATGCTAAACTCCTTCCCACCCTCTAATCTGGAATTGGGTCTAGGATGGAGCTGGTGCTAATGAACATTCCCCCGCAACCGGGTTTGCATCCATGATTTCCAGATGGCTTTTTAGAATAAAATAAAAACCTACAACATTGAATTTCTGTTTCAAATAGCTAGACATTGAGAGGAAACCCCAACATAGTCTTTTACTCAAATTGGGAGCACAAGCCGTAGCTCATGGCCACTCCTCATGTGGTGTTTCAGACTGCAAATGACCCCACCCAAGTCTCCTCAGAGCCCAGTTGGGTTGAAGAAGGGGGACAGATTGGTGGTGTTTGGGCTTAAGGGACTGGTGGAGTCTTGCTATTGGTCTTGTTGGGAGAGGCTTTGGCCTCCAACTCCATCGGCATCCAAACATTTCAGTGGCCAAGGAAGAGAGATTTAAACCCCTGAACATCCATGTATGCTGAGATGTGAGTGTATGTGCCTATGGAAGACCTCCTCTGTGTGTACATGCCTGCATGTGTGGGTGCTCCCTCCAGGGGGGTATAACAGGGATGAGGAAATTTTGGCCACCTAGACATTTTGGACTTCAACTTCTGGATACCCAAGCCAGCCTGGGGACTAACCACCCATGGTAAGGAATTGTGGGAGTTGTAGTCACAGACACCCTGGAGGGCCAAAGGTCCCCCCCAGCCTAAAAATCTGTGGAAGGAAGCCATTCCGGTTATTTCTCAGGGCCGAACTATATGTTAGGAAGAACCAGTCATTAGAAAAGGGAATTCCTTAAAGGCGGATTGTGCAGGATGGACTGTCATGGAAGGAGCTTTCGCCCCCCCTCCCACAGTCTGCAAATTAGTTTGCTTTGTTATTTGATTGGTCTTCAGGACAAAAGCACATTCTTCACTGAAATGCCTGAAAGTCTAACAGGATGATGATATCCTTGGACCCTTAGCATGATTTCATCTCTAATGACAGGTTACCTGCAATGTATGTTTTGGTAGAGAGACCTGTTACTGAGAGTCTCCTGTCACATTCATGGCCACCATAGGGCCTGATCACAAGAGGCAAATGAACCCTGGTCCTACCCCAGTTAGATCGTTGCACAAATTTGTGGTCACACAACACATGGCCATTGTCACATCATTTTCCTGGCCAGCAGTGTAACCGTGGTTTATTTCCCCCTTGCTGGGAGGGTTGTGTTATTTTGTTCCAATGACGTATCAGATCATTCCCTGTTGGTATTGCATGTGTGAACATCATTCGCACTGGAGAAAAAAGAAGGGAGAGCAGCTAGGTCTAAGGTGATGCCTCGAAGAAGTGTGCCCACTCCACAGGGCTTGGCACAAGGGTGGCAGGGAGTAAACTTGGCCTTTGCCAGAGGATGGATGGATGGATGGAGGCATAGGATGATGGGAGTTGCATGGAGGAGCCACAGAGTGATCCCATATGGGGAAACTGTGGGGCAGGAATGGGGAATAGAGAAGGACTAACATGGGAGGATGAGTGCTTGCTGTGGGCTTCTCCCCCTGCAAGGTAAGGCTGCCAACGCCCCAGCTCCCCACAAAGCCAATCCACAGAATCCACAGAATCCACACTACAGCCTAACACGCCTGGAAGCAACCAACAGAGCAAAGGGCTCAGGAAATCAAGACACAGCACAAGATGCAAGAGTTAGGAGCATTAGCCCTAAAAAAAACTCCATGACTTATCTCTACAAATATAAGTAAGGAGCTGCACTGCTCTAGGAAACAAGAAAAGGAATAAATCAGGTGTTGCCGGCCATAACATTTCAAATAGGAAGAAATAAATTGGTAACATTAAAACAAATTGGAATGTTCTCCCCAATATTTATACCACATGAACGCAATTCAGTACAACGGAGGTGTGGAATGTATTGTTAGAACTGGAGAACATTTGGTTGGTGTGATCAGGCCCTTAGTTCAGCCTTTTCCTCCCTGTTCTCTAGCTGCCAACCCTACAAGGTCCCACCTGGATGTACATTTAGGCAAATGCAAATGAGTAAGTGACTGGATACAACACCCCTGCTATAACACAAAAGGTGGTTTAGTTCACCATCTGTGCTATTCTCATTCCTGAATCGTTTGGCATTAAGTCAGTTGTTTATGGGGGGAAAAAAACTTTTGAAAAACTTTTTGACTCCAAGAGAATTTTCCAGGCTCAAATGTTTTCAGTGGAAACAATTCTGACTTGTTCTCTTTAATTTTTTTTTAAAATGAAAAAAAGATTAACTGGAAAGTGGAGTTTAATCTTTTTTTCATTTTAAAAAAAAATTAAAGAGAACAAGTCAGAATTGTTCTCTTTAATTTTATTTGAGCCTGGAAAATTCTCTTGGAGTCAAAAACACACACACACACACACAAAATCAAGCAAGCTCAAAAGCAAAACTTTACTAACAAATCCTGAAAAAATTAAATGGAAAGGTGAAATGTTAAGGAATCTGCCCGGGGTTCCCTGCCAACATCTGAGGTGGTATTTGAACTGTAGCTGTCTTTCCCATTGATTTTAGTACCAAATAGTTATTTAACAGACAAACTGTGGAATGGGTACATATTGCCTGCCATGTACAACATATCCAGATAGGATACAATGATAAAACTATAATGTAACATACTTCATCACTAAAACAAGGCAATTCCATATAATATAATAAAAAGTCTATAAATGTATACAAGAGAATAGCAGGTGCCATAAGGCACAAATGGCGGGGAACAAAAATGTTTTCAATATGTTCAGAAAAGTTAATGCATGCTTTATTTCAAACAGAGCATGTGAACCAAGATATGAGACAGACAGAGAGACGGAGTGAGTACCAGCCTGGTGTAACAGACAACACAGCCTTACCTGACACAGTCCCAAGAGGAATGCTGGAGTACAAGTTCCACTTCTGTGGAGTTTTTGTGAGTTTGCACACAGCAGATTAAGCATGAATTGAAACACACACACATGCTGGGTTGTGTAATATTTGCATATATTAGCATGCTGGACAAGGGGGGAGGGCAGGTTTAAAACTTTCTTCTTTCACCCTCGAAATGTATTCATTGACCTTCATCCAAAAACTGTATCTACCTCTTAGGGTTGTTGTGAAGGGTAGCAGTGTATAACCACCATGGTTAGTAACCACTGACAGCACTGTTGTGCCGGTTTCTCCAGTCTCTGTTCACACCCATCTGAACTGATGTCTGCCGCCACATCCTGTCATGGTGCATTCTGTCATTTTACTGTGCTTTACTGTATAGATAAATACTATGTATCCTGAATCCTCCACCATTCAACTTCACTGGATGGCAGCAGGTTCTACCACGATGACGTGGAGATAAAGTGTTTGTCTGAAGGTCAATGAGTCTTTCTCAGAATTCCATCATTATTTTAATCTCATCCCAATTAAAGATCAGGTTGTACAATTTTATCTCTCCTTTGAGCACAAAAATATGTACACTTGC